GCAGTGCTCAATGGTTGTCATGTGTTTTCCCCACATGACAAAGTGTACAGGTTATTTTCCGATTGAGCCGCAGTCAGAACTTTTGATTCTTTGGGTTGGCTCAACGATCCGGATTTCAAAGGGAAAGTGCCATGGTTTGTACATAATCCAGATATTATACATAAAAAACATATATATATATGTATATATGTGTACAAATGCTATATGCACATACACATGTGCCGCACCTTTTCGGCCAACAACTCTCTGCGTGTTTCCCACGCTGTGGAGGCCCGCGTTTCTCAGTGAAATCTAAGTTTCTTCTTCAAACACCAATGTTGTTCACGTAGTGCAGAGCACATCTATTGTCTCGTTGTTTTCCTGGTTTTCTGTGAACGTCATTTTTTTGGGCGAGAAGAAGAAATCTACTTGTCGGAAATGACCTATGGGAAGATTCTTCTCGTACCTCCTCCCATATCAGCTATTGCATGCCACCAGTTTGCATTGGAGCAGGCGGACCTATCCCTGATGTAGAAATGACTACCCGCATGCAGGTGGTTTGCCTGAATGCTTTAAGACACCTTGTGCAGGCGCCTAGGATGCCTGATGCGGGTATGGGTCAAAATGAAAATACCAGGAATTGGACCGCGGAGTTGAGCCAAATCTTTTTCTCCATTTGGCAGGGCAAGCCATGTTGGGTTCCATGTCCGATTTTTGCCACCAGTTGGGTATGGTTGTCAAAATTTTCAGACACTGGGAATTGGACCGCAGGGTTTGGTACCCATGTTTCCACCTAGGGTGCCATTTTGGGTACCTATTGTTGACCCACAGCCATTTTTGGAAACACCTACGAATAGTTAGGTGAATGTACCGATTGTTTTTCGCCACAGCCATTTGGGCTTCAGCCAAAAAAAAAACCTCCTGCCCCGTGCCGTGTGGCAGGCCAAGGAGGAGAAGAGAGGCCCAAGTCTTGGGGGGGTTGCTGTGCCCATGTTTCAAGGGACACCTAAAGGAACCCAGTCGTGTGGGTCGGTTTTTCTTCTTCTTTTTTACCCTTTTTGGGGTTGGTTTGAAGGGGAAAAAGCAGGAAAACCACCATTTTTTGGGGGGTCCCCTAAAAAGACACCCAGTTTGGGGTTCTATTTTGAGACCCGCCAATCTTTTGGTTTAGGTGAAACTGGATGGCGAAGCCAATCCCACATTTGGTTTTTTCATTCCACTTACCCACAAGAGAGTGGTCCAATCGTCCAACACCATCTACTCGCTTCCTGAGTGTATTTCCCACACACGTGTCCGAACTACATCGGCTGCCACCAATTTGGTCCAACTCAGTGACTCAAAGTCCTACTTTCACCCAGGTGTACATCGTTTCAACAAGACCCTTGCCCTTGCCAGGGAGTTTGCTTTTGGCTGACGGGTTGGATATGCAACAAATCCATCGCCTTGCGGGGTTCGATGCCCATGCAGGCCCTTGGAGATCCCTTTCAGGATGTGTGTATATATATATATATACTTGCACATACACATGTATTGAGATATATTCACATGTATAAGCACTATGTGTGTGTGTGTATTCACATAGTCGTATGTATTTACGTATATATATATATATATGCATGCATATCTACATACACATACATATCTATGTGTATATTTTAGATATTGGCCCAACTCTGGGTGCACTCAAAACATGTTTTGTCTGCTGGTCCATAGGTAGTCAGCCTAGAAATGCAACATATCACATGTCCCCAAGCTTGACTTCTTTTGGTAGTGCCCCCCTCCCCCCCGCAGGTAGTTGGTGGGCCGGGGACTGTGTGAACGATTCCCTGGCAAAGAAGCATTACAGGAGAACGAGTAAACAACCTGCAGTTTTGGCTATGAACTTTGATAGGGGTTCCCTGGTTTACGTAAACCCCAATGTAAAAGATGTCCAGCAAAGGCCCCAATTCAAACTCAAAGCCACACGTTTGTCTTTTACCTTTGCACGAAGCTCAGTCGAAGCTTGCTCCGGGCTTCCAACAACTTGTTGGGATTTGGTAACTTTCCGGTGTCCAGTGCAGGAACAACACGCGTCAAATTCCGTTGGGTTTCCGCATCCAACCGAGTCCAACTTGTTTGGGGATGATTTCTGCTGTGCCGAGCGTTGACATGCCGAACGTTGAGTACCCCTTACCCCACTCGCAGAGGCATTCGGTCGTATTCTTTGCTTCTCGGAACTTTCATAAGACGCAAACACGCAAGGATTCCTGCAAACAGCTGCGACAGATAGGCGATTGCAAGGTCCGGACGGCTGTTTCACGATCCTCAATGCTTCCCTGGTCAAGAGAGGCATCCCCTGCGCAATTCTTTCTGAAAGAGAATGGATTCGGGCGAGGGCCTCCAGGCCTAGAGTCATGTTCCATGTGGCTGTCCACGTCGCGATAAAAAGTCGATGCCCGGTCCGCTTTCCCCCAGAAGCCCGCCAAGGAATTGGTTCCTCGTAGGGGAAAAGGTTCAATCCATCAACTGGGTTCCATGTTAGTACGTTAGTGGGTGGGGGGACGACCAGAAATGCCTAGGGCATTTCTCGGTGGCCCCCCTCTCCAACAGTGGTCGTTCATAAAGTGGTTCTCTTTTGTTGAGCGGGGCTCCACACACGTCACGGCTGTGAGGCTTCTTCGGGAAGAGGGGCCCGGAGAACCCCAAACGCCCGGGGCCCAGTGGCTCGAAATTTTAAGAGCTACGCAGGTTTTGGTCTTTGGTTCCATTTACCTGGGGGCCATTTTGTGTACCGTTTTTTTGAGCCACGGCCATGTGCCATGCTCAAACCACTTGTTTGCTTGGGGGTTGGTATGGTCATCAACCTCTTAATAGGGGTTTTAGACCAAAAGTTAGGGGTTGGTATGGTCATCAACCTCTTAATAGGGGCTTTAGACCACCAATGTTTGCTTGGGGTTGGTTATGGTCATCAGCCTCTTAATAGGGGTTTTCGACCACCGACATGATGACATCAAGGTTCCCTTTGAGGGAACTATGACCATGGCGACGGGTGGAGCTTGACCATGGCGCACATGGAACCCTGAACGATCCTGCCTAGGGACCTGATGGGTTTCCATATTGGGTAGTGGAAGAGAGGGCAAGGCCCCGTTTCAATGCGGTGTCTCAAAACTTGATCCACACGCAAACGCAGCGCTTCATATTGGACACCCATGTCTACACTGGGGCTGATCAACCAAACGGAATAACATGGTCTTGCTTCAAGTAGGTGTTTGAGTCGTGGCCAATGAGAAGCCAGCAATTGATTGCGAGATGGTCAACGAAACAGGATAGGTGTCGGAATATCGGCTTGTCCCTTTTCGGCAGACATGTTCTGCACTGAACACTTTTGGGGCAACACCCCCCTATTCCGTTTTTGTCCCCGCTTTTTTAAGTCCAACTCTCGGGGTTACTTGGGAGGTGGGCCGCGATGTTCCGAAGATGGGTCAAAATGAAACCACCGGGAATTGGAGCACAGGTTTTAGTCCATGTTTCCATTTACCAGGGCAAGCCATTTTGGGGTTACCCGATTTTAAACCCACAGATTCATTTTACATCTTGGACAAAAGACTTTGCCCCTGGAATTAGACGCTTTTTTGGGGTTTGCATGAATTCAATCTTGCGGGAAGCTCTTTGTACGGTGCTTTTCAGCTAGAGAGCCCCGGCTTCGGCGACAGGGATGAGGGCCAAGAAGCTGGAGGAGTACTTTGTGCAGCCGAGGTGAGCCGGCCGTTTTGAGATGCTTGGAGCTCTGTGTGATGGTTCTTTCACTTGGATGGTCTGGGAGGAATCGCCAAAGGACTACTGGTTGTAACCCACCACAATGGTTGTCAGTCCCCTGCAACTACGGTTACTAACCATTTAGCGATTCGTCCCAGACCATCTAAGCAAGGGGTTACCCTCTCCAAAGGGCACCGGGTCTTCTACAGCGAGCCTCCTTTTGGAGTGGAAAATCTGTACCTCCGTTTTTTTGTTTCGGTTTGGGGGGAGGCTGATTTGACTGATGAGTTCAAAGCTCTCGTCATGTTCACGAATTTCTGATTCACGAGCCGAGACCCTGGGTTCTTTCCGCAGCCTCTAAGAAGCTGGCAGCTGGGTACCTCAAAAAGGCGCTTTTGAGGTCCAAACCCATCCAGTGGAAGAGGAAAGGCCAAAAGCTTGTGGAATGCGCGTGCTATACGAGCCTGAATATTCAGAATGAGTTTGTGGGGGCTTTCAGACTAAATTCAAGCCATGATCAGAGAAGAACGCGTGATTCTCTAGCCCCTTGCTTGGATGGTCTGGGAGGAATCGCTAAAGGACTAGTAACCCTGGTTGTAACTTACCAAAGCAATGGTTGTAAGTCCCCTGCTAGGGTTAACCATTTAGCGATCTATCCCAGACCATAAGTGTCGGTTTCAACCTAAACTCGGGGCATTGCTATGAGCCATGCTCTGGCGTTTCGGGTTATGGCCAGAAGTTCCCCGCTTTGGCCTTCGCCGGGGCCTTTTGCGGGATCCTTCCCATGTGGATGAAATCCTCTTAGGCACCAAGAAACCCTGGTTTCTGAGGATTGCCCAACGTAAATACCAACAATGGTTTCAATCCATGGTTTCCCAAGTGGTGCAAAATGGAATTCGTCCACAGTAGAAAAGCCCGAATCCCAGGTTTCAAAGAGAACGGGCAAATAAAAAGCACAGGGATCACACTTTGGTAGTGCTGGTCTGTTGGTTGAATCTGTGAAAACTCGCTCCATGCTTTCAGGTACCTGCATAGGAGCCAACCAGGGGGTAACAGCAATGTAAAACGCAAGCCTGCCGGAATCGCAGCTGGACTTATTCGGTAGGGGCTCCGGAAATTATAGGTTCATGTGTTATGAGGCTGCAATGAACTGAAATGAATGAGCTCTTCGGATTTATGACCGCTTCCATTGGACACTCGCCTTTTTCCTGGTGGGGTGGCTTAAAGTCACATGGGCAACTTGAAAGTGAGTCTCCGTGGGTGGTGTGAAGGTCATCGCGGGGACCAGGGTGGAGACCATTTTGGGCTCAAGGAGCTCAAGCTCATCCAGCGATTCACCGGGTCGGACTTTCGAACTAGGCCATGAGGAAGGTGAAATATGATGTTGAGATGAAGAAGATGTGCAAGCAGGCCATCTCGGGCTCCAAGAATGTGGAGGATCATATCTTGGAGGCGTTCCAGTCATGGGACAAGGATAAGAACGGCTTCATTTCCAAGGATGAGCTGGCGCTGGTCTTAAGCTCCCTGGCTTGTCCCACCGAGCCAGCCGATTTGGAGGCGATGCTGACGGAGGCGGATTTAAATTGCGATGGCCTAGTCAACTACGAGGAGATGGTCCATTGGCTCTGCCGAGCGCCTCATCTAGAGCAGTACTTCCTGCTGTCTCTGGACATCTTCAAGCGCAACTTCCAAGACATCGATGCCGAGGTTTTGAACATGCAGCGAGAAATGCAACAGCTGCAGAAAGAGTTCGCTGAAAGCGACGAAGACCAGTACGAGGCAGCTGGCATGACAAAATGTCTTGGGGTCATGCGGAAGCTGTTGCACAAGATGGATGAAGTGCAAAAATCCACGCAGAAACGGATCGATGATGAGCTGACGCCGGTGATCAAGCGAAGCTTCAACTACCATGACAAGGACAACAGCGGCACCCTGACCCATGATGAAGGCGTCATCTTCTTCAGCAACTTCATGGCTCTCTGGGAGCCCTTTGGTGAGTTGATGTCGGAGCTGAACTGTGCGCAAGTGGCCATGATGGACCGACTGGATTCAGAAGCGGAGGATGAGAACCTAGACAATACCAAGGGTTTGGCCATGGAGAAGGTGAAATTGGTGACTCCCGACAAGCTGCATGCGGCCTTCAAGAACAAATATGCCGTCTTGCGAGCAGAGCATGTGAAACATCGAAGTCAGCACCAGAAGGATGCCTGGGAGTTGCTGGCCGGCAAGGATGGCATGACTGAAGCTTCCGTGGTCGAAGCCCTGCTGCATGGCCACGAGATGAACTCGCAGTTCCTGGGAGCTATGGGCCTGAGAGTTGAAGATGTGATGAAGGCAGCTGAACTCACCTGCAAATCGATGCAAGCAGATCTGGAGAATGTCGAAGAGACTTGAGCCACAATCAACACCGATTCGGGTAGATGAAGGTTAGTAAGGGGCAGTCCCAGCCAGCAATAGTTGCGGCCGCCTTCTTAATTCTTCCCATGGTTCTGGGTAGACCATTTTAATACCAGGTTTTGATTGTGACTCACTTGGTGGCTCCCAGCCATCCCCTTAGCTTTTTAGATCCTTTTAGTGTTTAGTGGCAGTGTCCGAATTTCACCCACTAAAAGTTCGCCACTTCTAGCGTTTTAGCATCAGAACTCGGGCAGCCCAGGAGATCGGTCGCTTGCAGGACGCCATGGGTGAGATGGACCAAGCGGTGAGAGAGATGAGTTCGCTGCGCCTCGAGCCAATACCCATCCAGGGAGGAGACTTCGGGGACTGCCAGCTACAGTGACTGCAGCGGCGTCTTCAGGGTGTTTCACCAGGCCCTTTCTGAGGGTGTAGTTGACATCTGACGCTAAATTTGTAGCGCGAAGCATGGCAAAGCCAGCAAAAGAAGAAAAGTAACACATGAAGGCCAAAACAAAACAAAACAAACATGCTAAGGGGGCCCCTTTTGACGGCTCCAAGGTCTCCCCAACCAATGGATCCCCCCACTCTCACGGGTGCTGAAGAGCCCTGAAGAGCGCTTTGCTCTCGGCATGGGGACAGAGCTCCAACAAGAACAGAGGTGCATTTTGCTTGGATGTTAGGACTTTAACTTTTTGCCAACTATTGGGTTTTCCATTAAACCGCTAAAAGTCAAACTTTTAGCAGGGGAGCAGAAAGCAACCGAGAGAAGATTCCGTTTACTCCTTCCTTAGCTGCAAGATGGTGGAGGTGTTGACAGCGGCTGTCAACGATTGCGCTAACCTGGCGAAATCACCAAGTGCGTGTTTTTTTTCAAATAAGTGTCCACCCCGCCCCCCTCAAAAAAAGAAGAAGGAGGAAAACTATTTGCGTGGGTGTGCATGGTGTGTCTTAACATGGAGGTGGGGGGGGGGGGACAAAAAACGGTTTGCGCATCCGATGGTGTTTTCATTGTCGCTTTGCTCATGGTGGACCCTGTTGCCTCCTTTTGCTGCCGCGCTATTTAGAGACCCGAACTTCATCCAAGCCTCTAGGGAAACCCTGACCGCTCAGGTGTTTTCCTTTGGCGGACTCCCCAACTCGGATGTTCAACCTACTTGGATGGTCTGGGAGTTAGCCGAAGGACTAGTAACCGACTAGTAACCCTGGTTGTAACCTACTTACAGTGGTTGTAAGTCCCCTCTAACTAGGGTTACCAACCATTTAGCGATTCGTCCCAGACCATCTAAGTAGTAAGGAGCCTACCCGACCTGCGCGAGACCGGAGACCATGGGCCATCTAAGGAGTTTTGACCATGGCTCATGTGGGTTTGTCTCAAAACTTTCCGGAAGCCCTAAGCGTTTTGTCTTGGACCATGTAAGTAGCTTATCAAGGTTCGCGGGCCAGGGGTTCAACTGCCTCCAGGTTCGCTGCGGGGCGGCTCTTCGCCGGGGGCACCACCTTCGCGTCCCTCGCGGCCTGGGACCCAACGGATGGAGTCCTTTGGGCGTGGTTCGTAGTCCTTTGTGGCAGAACCAGTCGTACTTGGCTTGGGAAGCCAGGAGAGCCGAAGAATTCCATGTTTTTCATGGTTGTCGTTGGGAAACATTTTACATTTTTGCTTATTGTGGTTTAGTGGGAAATCCCCACTTGACTGCTAAAATTTAATTTTTTGCTCCCCTTCCAACGTCAACCAATTTTTGGGGGCCTTCGACACACGGTAAATTTTCGGGCGAAAGGTTGGGTGCTCCAAGACTCTAAGCTGAACGACGGGGGAGGCCGTTGATGTCTCCTTGGTGCATGGCGTCTTACCCCGATCCGGGGGCAAGACGAGCTCACCATGATGTCGGTCCTGCACTCGGGAATCGCGGATAATAGGTTTTGGAATTTGCAAGCAAGCAAGCAAGCAAGCAAGCAAGCAAGCAAGCAAGCAAGCAAGCAAGCAAGCAAGCAAGCAAGCAAGCAACCAAACAAGCAAGCAAGCAAGCAAACAAACAAACAAGCAAACAAAAAGACAAACAAACAAGCAGACAGACCCACAAACAAAAAGACAAACAGACAAGCACACAAACACAAAGGACACACAAGCACACACTCAAACACAACATCTTACAAACACACAAACGCTCAATCACACAACCTACCCAAAAACAATCGGCCAAACAACCAACAAACCAACCAACCAACCCACCAACCCACCAACCCACCAACCCATGGGCAGTCAAGACTCTTCCAACCACCCCGCAAAGACCCTCTCCCCCAAGGCGTGCGGCTTGGGGGTGGTCTGTAGGGTCCCGGACGGATTTCTGCACAGAACCCCTGGTGATATTTCTTGGAGTTGGTGCCCTGTTCAGTTTTGCAGTGGTTTTTAAAGACCGTTTTTGGACCCCCTACTTTGACGCATTCCGTTTGCACGAGGCGAACACCTTCTACAATCCCACGCTCATCGACTTGGCGTGGGCGCATGGGCGGTTCGACCGGCATGACTGAGGGTTTTTGTTTAAACAACCAGGCCCTGTCCATTTTCAAAAGGAAACCCCGAGAAGGTTGTTGAATTTGGGGGGACCAAGATTTGAACCAGCTGTGGAGTTGTTGTATGGTTGCTTGGTGAAGAATGGTTAGGGTGGTTTGGCTGGACACCAAAACGCGGATAAACACGGGGCCTGGCCCGACCAATTCTGGTGGTTCGACCGAAGCTGAGGTCAGCACCATGGTCACGTGACGAGCTCAGGCTCTCGGTGGCTCCGGATTTTATGGGCTCCCGTGACAACCCGCAGGATTTTGAGGGGGAACAGGGATGGGTCATCGACTTCATACTCAGGATCCTCAATTCCGAACTATTACGGGCACCAGGACCCTACTGTGGATGGACAAAAACCTGCACCACTTGGAAACCATGGGAAACCGTTGTTGGTTGGTATTTACAGGGGAATCATCAGAAACCAGGGTTTGTTAGGTGGTGCAGGATTTCGTCCATCCACAGTATGGCCTACCCGACATTCGCGAGGCCCGAAACCATGGGCCATATAAGGAGTTTTGAACGTTCGTCTCAAAATTTTCCGGAACCCCAAGGGTTTTGTTTTGGCTCCCTTTCGAAGCAACCTAAAATTAGGGTTCCTTCTAAACACCACACACCACTATTTCCCCTTTGGTGGCTTGAAACCTGAGAAGTGACATGGGCAGTGCCACTCTCGCGCGTGGGGAGTGGATGATCTTGTGCCCATGTAAGGTGAGCTTCCCTTTCAGGGGAAAATATAAGGAAGCCTGACCCCCCGTCACCCTCCCCAAAGCCCCCGGGTTAAAAGAGGGATCCATCTTTGGGGTGCCATGTGAATCTGGGGAAACAATGGGGGAATTTGGTCATGCAAGGTGGCGACGCCACGTGTATTTTTTTGAGGGTACCCTTTTTAGGTTGGCTCAAAGGCAAGCACACAAACACACACCATTTCATGGTTGTTGTTGGGACACATTTTACCTTTTTGCTTGTTGTGGTTTCGTGGTTGAAATCCAACCACCGAACTGCCAAAGTTGTATTTTTAGCTCCCCAAACCCAACGTCAACCCAGATTTGGGGCTTCCATGTACCTCAAATCTCTGAGTGGACGGGATCCCTGTTTCGGAGCTCCGGGACGGGAAGTCGACGGAAGCAAAGCCGGTGGTGGATTTCAAAAGAGCCACGGCAGGCGGCCCTTCGATCCATTTTCCGTGCTGACTCTTAAAGGATGGTTCCCTTGGTGGCCGAAACCCTTGCCGTTCAAACCAGGGATATGGAATCACCGGGCAAAGTCTCCTAGCCTTTGGTAGCAATCTTCAGGAGATTCGAGGGGTTGATTCCTGGTCCATTCTTTTCAGGTTGATTCCTTGTCCATTCTTTTCAGCCGCCGTTCTTTTCAAAAACCCATCGCCGTTTCCAACCAGAGGTTTTCGGTGGTTTTCTACAAAGATTCGGATCCCTGGGTTCAGAATGGAATTGGAAGTTCCCCCTGCAGAATTGGATCAGTGGCCCAGACAGGGAAATGGGGTCACGAGTCAACATGCTGCTGTACACCTCGGGCTTGCTTCCAACTGGTTAGACTCGAGTCACTTTTCATGGCAAATCCGAAGCCAGCAGATGTTCTCCAAATAGGAACCCCCGAAAGGTGTTTCTTTTTTTTTGGTTTCCCCTTACACCCGCCCCAAAAAGGTATACCTTCAACAAAGGCACACCCAGCCTTTTTCGGCTCGTCAAGGGAGATGTGTGCTGAGGACGCAGATCAGGATGGTGAAGTTGCCCCATTCCTGGGCCGGGACCCCGGATTTTTCTTGGCCAGGCCGAAACATTCTTAAGCGGAGCCATCTGCCCAAAGTCATGCAGCGGATTTCCGCCTTCCTTTGGTTCGCCTTAGGAACCCAAAGGGTACCAGATGGTTGCGGATCGAAGCCAAAGGCGAACTGGGGGCCTTGGGACAGCTTCTCGGACCCGGAAAGAATCAAATAGATCGAACTTGCTGTTGCATGTTTCCGGTGGGGGGTGTCCTGCGAAAAAGCAGCTTCCTAGCTGTTGCATGTTTCCGGTGGGGGTGTCCTGCGAAAAAGCGGCTTCCTAGCTGTTGCATGTTTCCGGTGGGGGTGTCCTGCGAAAAAGCGGCTTCCTAGGAAAGCCAGTTGGGGCGGGTCCTAGAAAAACCAGCGCTTACGTCGAAATCCTTTGTACAGTCCAGCGCCGTCGGACAATTCCATATCTCGAGCGTAATCCAAGTTGAGTGTCCAGTCCTGCTTGAATCTGAATGCAAGTTGCTGCCATTGGGTTGCTTGGGGTTTCAGACACAGCTCCGTCCATTCAACCACAGAGAGTTCGAACTTGGCAATTGCCCTTTAGATCGTGGATGCGCTATGGTGCTGAGGGGGTCACTTTTGCGTGGGCTATTTTTGGTCAATCCCGGGACTCATGATCCAATTTTAGTGCAAGAGAACATCCTACATGGGGCTATCCAAATACTTGAAAAGAGATATGTACCCAATAGAGAAAGGAGTCATTCCGATTTCTGGATTCGTGGTAGATCTTGATCCTTGCCAATCGGGGTGCTTGTGCCATCCATCTGGTCTAGTGCTAGTGAGCTTACCGTGAAGCCTCTTTATTGGGGAGGGGAGGGGGTCCGTATTTCCGCCTATGTTACATTCCTGCAGATTCACATGGAACCGCAACCACCGTTGCAATCTTATTTGGATCCCCAGCTTCTCGTAGGAGGGCCATGGTTGTGAAAAAGCGAGTAGGATTTACGGCTAGCTTCTGGGATATCAAGGGAATCCCGTGATAAAGTAGTCCTGGGCTCCAACCACTAAGTATTACAGATTTCGGGACATGTCCAAAACCATGAAACAACCCATTTTGGTATCACAGATTCAGGTGGTGTTTTGGCTAGGCGACCACAAAACTCTTGGCTTCTTGTTTTTCCCCCCCCCCCCTGAAACACCAACAGGCTGGGTGAATTA